GAGCGCGTCCACCTGAGCGACCTGGGTGCGTTGTATGTGCGTCCTCGGTCTCCTTTAACAGCTGTGAGTGTGTGGTTATACCTGACGTGTGTGTGTGTGTGTGTGTGTCTCAGATCGACCGCCTAGCAGAGAGACCGCCGGCGACCTCTCACCTCCCGCTGTGTCCAACGGCTCCACCCGGCAGGCGGAGGAGCGGCGCTCCGACGGAGGGAGCGGTACATCTCCAGCTGGTCCTCACGCGTTCTCACCGGTTATCGGCGCCGTGAACGAAACCGAGCAGAACATTTGGCCCGAATGGTTCCTTTAAGGAGCCTCCGGTTGAAATGATGAGATGATGAGATGTTGAGGAGATGATGAGATGATGAGATGTTGAGATGTTGAGATGATAATGAGATGATGAGATGATGAGATTTTGAGATGATGAGATGTTGAGGAGATGAGATGTTGGAGATGAGATGTTGATGAGATGATGAGATGATGAGATGGAGAGCAGATCTCCCACGCGTAGTCACAGAGCGCTTTTTAAGCGTCCGCCGGGTCAAACCAGCAGATCGTAGCATAAACCTCTGGGTTCGTGGTTAAGTGTCGATGCCGTCGTCTTGACTACCGAAACAACTTCAAAGTGCATTGGAGTCCTCGCTCACTTCCCATCGTCATGGCGACCAACAGCTGGAGAACATCCTCTCCTCACCCTCCCTCTCTTCCTTTGCTCGTCCAGTCCCACCAGGAGAGCCGGACGCCAGCGGGCCGGAGACCCCGCCCACCGGCGCCGACCCCCCCGACGCCCCCTCGCCGTACAGCCTGGAGATCATGACCGACATCTTCTTCGATGCTGTTGGGGAGGAGCAGGAGAACGAGAACAACCCCGGTGAGAACACTCAGGCGCTCCTTGCCGTTCATCAGATCCACATCTTGGGAGTCGGTGAATCTCACACGTCTCCGTCTTCTCCCGCAGCCGCCTGCTCCCGCGACCCGTTTGTTGAAATCAACCTCGACGAGGTGGCGTTGTGCCACCAGCTGCTCGCCCCCCCTCCCTCTTCTCTCCTCCCCATCTCCTTCTCCTCGTCATCCGCCTCATCGTCCTGCACGTCCCTGCACATCCAGTAGAAGAACCCGCCACTGCGTCTGTGAGCAGTCGCTCTAAAGTTGTGGAATATTTTGCAGACAACCGGTAAATAAGAATAAAAGCTCGGAGTCAAATACGTCTTTCTCCGTTTATTTCTTACAACAGCTGCTCAGTAGACTGCCAGGAACCTCCCTCCTCCAACGGTTCTCCTACCTTCAGGTGGTCTCCAAACCTACTTGCTGTGTCTCTGGTCAGGACTTACAGGGGGGGTCACATGAACAATGAGACCTCGTGAAGGCTTAGTACACGTTACAGGTGTGTGTGGTACGAGTGGACGTGTCTGAACTCGGTCAAGCTGAATAAGCTTAAGCTGGTTGAGAGAGAATCCGGTCATTTTTCAAAATAAAATATTTCCCAGAGAGAAAAAAAATCGAATGTGTACTAAAAGTATCCCACAAAGTAACACACAGTACTCCGTATTGACTACAACATGTGTACCTGTAATACTGGTAATTACCTGGGGAGATTCGAAGGTGATAAAAGCGTCTCAAACGTCACACTTCCGGTGGAGCTACCGCTAGCAGAGCTAGCTAGCGTTAGCTCGTCTACGCTCCCCACGGAAGGCCCACTGGGTCGGAACTGGCTCCGTGAGGAGGTTCACCGAGGAGGTTCTCACGGGGAAACATGAAAACCTGCAGACCAACACGGCGAGAAGACTTCCTGGTTAGTGGGGGTCGCACTGCTGTTGCGTTAAAGGACGATGCAGAAATCCCGTATTTTTCATTCTGCTGTTGAAGCGTCGCTGCGAGAGGGTGAAGTTTAGTACATTACAACATGGAATATAGACACGAGAAACAATTCACTGTGACCCGCATACGTTTTGTCACCACGTCCTCTCTTCTCTGGGGTCGGGTCAGCAAAATGGATCAAAGCATCTCTTTCGCACTTCCTGTTTGAGCGATTTGCATCTGTAATTTCCCGGTTCTTGGAACGGCCCTGAACTTCGCACAAAGCAGAGCTAAACTGAGCTGATCTTTAATAAGATATACTACCTCCCTTATGTATTTGATTTATTGTAATATATTAATTGTGCACAGGATAATCACCCTCCTCCTCCCCCGGACACGGGATGCAGAAAGTGAGCACATCATACACGATATTATTATGTTTATCTCTAAAACACAAATTGTGACACATATTGAGTGTTTTAATTAGAGACCTTTGGGGTGCAAAGAGTAAAGATGCGTAGAGATGAACGACAGACTTGTTTCAGCTTGTTTCAATGCTTGAGCTTTTTATTAATGCATAAAGAAGGACAGGTTATACATGTAGAATATATGTGAGGTTGTGCTATATAAACCACTCTATATAAAGCACTCTTAATAAAGCACTCTATATAAACCACTCTATATAAACCACTCTACATAGACCACTCTATATAAACCACTCTACATAGACCACTCTATATAGACCACTCTATATAAACCACTCTACATAGACAACTCTATATAAACCACTCTACATAGACCACTCTATATAAACCACTCTAGACCACTCTATATAAACCACTCTACATAGACCACTCTATATAAACCACTCTATATAAACCACTCTATATAAACCACTCTACATAGACCACTCTATATAAACCACTCTATATAAAGCACTCTATATAAACCACTCTATATAAACCACTCTACATAGACCACTCTATATAAACCACTCTATATAAAGCACTCTATATAAACCACTCTATATAAACCACTCTATATAAACCACTCTACATAAACCACTCTATATAGACCACTCTATATAAACCACTCTACATAAACCACTCTATATAGACCACTCTATATAAAGCACAGCGGTAGAAAAGAAAAGATTTGAATGAAACCAGATGTGTTTGGAAGCCTTCATCCTGGTCAGGGGCCACAGGGGGCCTCACATCAGTCCAGGGGTCAGGGTCTCTTGGACAGACAGACGGAAGTTCATCCGAGCAGTAATTGTCGTCTCAGGTCTTCCCGTCTGTACAAAAACAGAAAGGTGAGCTAGTGAATTGAACACAAACCAATGAAAGCGTTGTGTGGACGCACGCGGTGTCACACTGTGTGTTGTGCTGACATCGCCTGGTCTGAGGAGGAAAGGGAGACACAGAAAGACGTCTTCTTACCTCCATTTGGATGCAGTGCTGGATGCCGTCTAGTTGAACGGCTCTCCGGGGGCCCAGATCGGGTGGTCCAAATAAGTCCCATCGCTCCAGAACCACAGCGCCTCCTGGAGGACAAAATAGGGTTGAGTATGAAGTATTATATATATATATATATATAATACAGGATGGAATAAGGGAAACATGCAAATAATATATATTACCTCTCGTGCATGAGAGCCTCTAATCCGTGTTGCTGGATGTCGGGAACGGGAGCTAAAGACAATCGTCTGAATGTCCTGGTACTCCTGGACGCTGTGAGCGGACGTGAGGTGTCCCCCCAGGGAAAGACAGCCTCTCTACAGGAGACAGACGTGTGCGGCAGGTACATATTGAGAGGATGAACCAAAGTGCTTCAGAATCAGTGTTTCACATTTAGTGTCCACACGTGTAAAAGGAGTCTGAACCCTCTGAGCCGTATAAAGACACCTGGTGGACCTTTAGTTCTCTTCCACCCAAAGAATGTTTCCATTGCTGATGTTAATTTGGCTTCATGTCTTTAACATGTACAGAAACGAGTCATCTGCATACGCTCTCATCAACGGTACCTGAGCCTGAGCCCCGGACGCCGCGGTCGGAATGTCACGGAAACAGCGTCCAGCCGTCTTAGTCCAACCGCGGGGACACGATGAAGACGTCCTGACCAGATGACGCTCTGCTGAGATAAACACACTTTTGTCGGTAACGTGGAGTCAAGTATTCATTTCTAGTAGTAGATAGTAGCTAGTAGCTAAATACTATGACGCAATGCAAAACAACGTGTTACGTCATTACACGACGAAGTGAATCCAAGTAATATCGATGGAGCAAAATCTAATCTAATAAACTAATAATCTGAAACTACTCACCTGCTGTTGTATTCAAAGACAATAAGCGGACACGTAGCCGTTACTACATGCGATACTCACCAGCCGCCCTGGTCAGCGTCATGACGGCACACAGAAGGACAGTCAGAGTCAGCGTCTTCATGGTGACGAGATGATGCAGAAGCTGGAGATGAAGACCAGCTGTAATAAGAGGACGGATTACTGACACTCGTGAAGAGGACGGAGACGCGTACGGACGGTGCACCGGGGTTGGAGAAGCTCCTCATACCTCCCTGCTCAGCTCGAGATTCAAGGGAACGATACGATACGATACGATTGGTCCGAGAGGCTGAAACCCTCCTACTGTTACCTCATTGAAGATAAAGGACCTTGTTGCGTTTATAACACCGTTACCAGCGTCGGACTTCACACACCGTGAGTCATCTGGTTCTGAGAGAAGGAAGCTCACCCCAGATGTGTTCTGGCCTCTCGCTGCTCCCCCGTCTGACGTTCAGGTGGATCTTCCTCTGACTCTTATCCTCCTCCCCGATGTCCTGGGGACACGTCCACGTCCTCAGAGGGATCGTTGTGAGAACAAACACCAACAGAGTCTTGGGGCGTAACTGACTGACAGACATTTGTTTAGGTTGTTTAAAGGTTCCGTCCTCAGTCACTGATGCTCCTGAGGGGGATTCAGCAACAATTCTGCAAATTGGATGAAAGTGACAGTGAATTGACGTGAGTGCATTTGTCTGTTTGCACAGTTCGGGTCTGTGACCCGGATGTGTCTCCACAAGCAGAATAAACGGACCCCCTTTCGTTTGCAGACTTCAGGGTCCGAGTATGGAGATGAGACCCGCTGAGTGACGTCGCCTCGGGTCTGCGAACCGCCCAAATATTGAATGAGCATTTGAATGCCTCACGTCAAGCTGAAGGACGCTCAGAGGCCCAGATAACCTACGAGAGTCGGCTCCGGCTGGAGAAACATTTACCTTTATTCATCTACGGGGGCCAAAACATCTGCCGTTAAAAAGTATCAAACGAGTGAGAAGATGAAAGATATTTCTGGACCGGCTTCTCGCCAAAGACCAGCGCTCATAAGAGACTTGAGATGAGGGCGGTTCGATGCCTTCACAGCGGTTAGGAACGAGACCCTGAACTCCTCAACGCTGCTGGAACTGGATTATCTGGATTATGAGTCCTGTCCTCACTCCTGCGTCCGTATAGCTTTAGTTTCCCCCGTCCTCTGTCTGCAGCACAACGATATATATATAAACATATATACACAGCAAATTGAGCAGAGTTAAATTTCTGGTGTTAATAAAGATAGAGTCAATCGAACTCTATTTGGAATTGATCTAAATCTGTATGTTGTTAAATCTGTTTGATTTCACACTGCACCACAAAAGAGTTGGTGTCAAAATGGAGTGTTATTACTGTTATTGTGAAACCAACTCTATGGGTCGTCAGTCTCTCAGCTCGGGTGTAAGGAGTGACTACCCTCTGGCATCGCGCGAACAATAATCTCGTGAGAGCAACAATCTGGCGGGATTCAAGTAATTTACCTGCACAACTCAACTGGAACGCAACGAGCAGCACAACGTTTTCGAGGAGAGTTTGTTCAAAATTGAAGAAAACGTGTTGCATTGTGTCGGTAAGTAACAGTTAATTAGATAACCCAATGAGTGCTATTATTATATACAGATGGACATATATTTAGACATTAGTAATATATTTATAGCCGCTGTAATGTAGGTCAACTGTTCTGCTGCCGCCTTTACTCCAGCCAGGCTAATGTCAGCTAGCTAGCAACCGTAACCTACGCCCAGAGCGGACAAACTACTGTACGGTAACTGGCAAGCTAACGTTGGCAAGCTAATGTTAGCAAGAGTTTGTGTCTTCTACTTTCACACGTTTTCTGATTACTGGTCTATTGAGTCTGACAGTGAGCAAAATAGAATTCCTGTTGAGTGTTTAAAGTTTGGCAATGTAACGTTAAGTTACGTGACGGTACTTTAGTAATGCCAACATTCTTTCAAATAAATACATGCTAGTTAGCTGGCTAGCTAAGAGCCAGAACCGGTTCCCACGTCTTAGCTGCATGGAAGCAAATATTCTCATACGAGGACTGGGTATATGTATATCTAAATTACATTTTGATTATCAGAAGTGTAGTTAATATGAAGTTACTATCGGAAAGTTAATCTGAAGGACTCCTTTCTCAAATACGTTTTACTGTGCTTAGACGCCGTCGGGAAGGTTGGAGGGGAGCCAGCGCGGACTTTTTTTTCAGCGTGAGAAATACGATGTGTGGCGTAACACTTGAGAGCCCTGACGCCACCAGTTACAGCGCACGCAAAGCTCTTCACAATCGAATGCATTTATTCCATGCTAAATGCATTAAATCGACATTGACAAGAGCGCAAGTGCATAGAAACTGCAGTTTGACTAACGTCAGGCAGAATTACACGTTAAAGCTCTGCAGCTCTGCTTCGTGCTGAGGTTAGCTAAGCTGTTCTTTTCTGCCGGTATTTTATGATAATGCCTAAAACAAGCGCACGGGGTTTTTTTTTTTCTTTTACCGACTGACTCAGCTAAATAGCTGCTGATTTAATCGGCTTTGATCAAAGACTACTATTTCTGTGCTAATTCATGTTGTTTTCATGTGCTAAAAACTCTGGTTTTAGAGAGGCATGACTGACTCCTATTTGGACTTGTTTTAATCTGTCTTATTCTTTATCATTTTACAGGAAATGTTGGCTAAAGTGGAAATTGGAGGGGTCCTAAAATACGTGAAAATTCCAGAGACTGATGGATTTTTTCAATTTGATATGTTCCTTCAAGAAGGTTTGTAGTTTATGGCTATATATTTTGCATTCATTACTGTTCTCACTGTAGTTGAACATGCAATTTAAAAATTATCTGGATAAAGAGGTCAAAAGTACCAGTGTTATTAGCATATTAATGACCAAAATGGCTTTGTCCAAACATGAAAAAAATCCATGCCTAATTCATATTGTTATTGCTTTATACTAATACTTTTTATTCTTCTAGTGAACGACAAGTTTAGTCTGCACCCAGACAGCTTCAGCGAGGGCCAGTTCACCATCACAGATATGTCAGGAACAGAGGTGGATGGAGATATCTTTGATGAGGTTGTCAAGTCGGGTGTCCTGACCTTCAAGGTCCCTTTACCAGTAATGGGTAAGGATGTGAAGGCAGGGGTTTGATGAGGTATCACAGACAGCGTCAAGTAGAAAGCACAGTGTTTTGTTGGAAATATATTTTTCTATAGGCATATTTTATGATCCTCTTTATAAATATATATATTCAACCTATGCTATAATTTGATATACTACTGATCATTGTCTTAAATACATATGATCTATCACTGGGTAGTAATTAAGGAAGAATATAATATGCTTAGTACTTTTTAAATGCTTTATTTAAGATTGAGATTGTTTTGTTACTGATAGGTACATGTTAATTGTCTTTGTTCTGTCTGCCATTTTGTAGATCTGGATGTTGAGCTGGTTGCAGATCAAGCATCCTCCTCTGTATTGACATCGCTGTCCCCAACTTCATCCCATTCATCCTTGGTAGTGGCACAGACTGCACTATCCCCAGCTTTATCCCATTCATCTGATTCCACCGTTATTCTGGAGTCCACAAGAAAAAGGAGGAACCCAACAGGGTTAATGGACCAGAATGAAGCAAAACAGGTAGAGCTTTGAATAAATACATTTGAAATCCTAAATTAATTAGTTTTTTTTGTAAATGTATTCGCAGTATAAAGTTATGTCACTAGAAAAGTTAAATTCTTTAAAAAAACCACTAAATTACCGTAAGCATTCCATAACAATGTAATATTTCTTGGCAGATGGTTGAGGGTGTTCTGAGGGCCAATCCAAAGGGTGAAGAAGTCTTTAATGAGTATGATAAGACTAAAACACTAACTGATGCAACCCGTAAACAAATGGTGAACATCCTGGTTGCAGATATGATAGAGCTACATGGGTAAGAATTGCAGGTCACTTGGTTATGTCATGTGTTGTAGCTAAATAATGCTGTTCTGTATAAGTGGTAAGGGTGTATTTATTCTTACAAAACATACATGCTTAAAAGTAAACTATGACTTATTTTTAAAGGAGGGTTCCACCGTCAAGTGTAAGGACCAATTATGCACTGGGAATTGTGACTCTTTTTCCATACCTCCGTGATCCATTCTCCAAACTTGGATATGTAAGTTCTATCTGAAAACCAAATCAGTGTGATTTCAATATCTTCTTCACCTTTCTGGTTTGTACTCATCTTGTTTCAGATGAGTTTTTGTAGGTTGCTCACCCTTGCATTTTCAACCTGTTTTTTAAAATGTTTTGCAGTCTATTCACTGTCTACAATTTTTGTGTTGAGTAACTTATTCTTAAATTGAAGCATGAGATGCCTCTGTTTGTGTCTTTCTTTAAAAAGGAACACTACTATGATCCTGAGGGTAATACTGGCTACATTTTTTATGCCTTTAGGATGGGACAGTGATATGTCTTCAATCCTTTTGCTGCTGCATCTACTCCCTCCAACTTCAAGGGGCCAGAAAAAAACTGCCAAGATCAGTTCAGCTCAAGCAACCAGCCATCTTGTTAGATATCTTAAGGTATGCAAAAGTTCCTACACCAAGAATCCCTGAATAGATGTTGGGATTCTGAGACAGTTTTGCTCTGTATATCTGCAGAAATGTGATCAAGATGTTATAGTAATTTCTGTCTCTTTACTGACCTACAGGAAGGAGCCAGTATTCCTACCTTCCTTGAGAGTGTCGACGCAAACAACCGTTCCTCCTTTGCATCGGTGAGCAAAAGAAGAATATCCAAAGGTTCTACCTTATTATCGACCGAAAACCACTCCCGTGCAAGGCACACACATCAGTGGCAGCTTTAGACATTACATTTGGCCGCCTGTTCAAATGTTACAAGTACAAGGTGGGTCAGATATTACGGTACTGAGTACCAGGTTGGGTTGTACTTATGCACTGGATGTACCGATGATCTTCCTGTGTTCAAAAAGATCTGTGATATTATAATACATGAACAGCACGCTTTCATAATATCCTGTAATGTACAAACAATGTACTATGATGACCACTTTAGTGCATACTGTATAGAAGACCAAATGAATGTGTTTTCTGTCATATCTGTGAAGGCACTGACTTATTTTAGACCATTTGACAAGCAATGCTCTAATGACAATAGTCAAAGAGCGAACATAGTGCCTTATTGTTACATTTAGATAAATGTACAGCAATGAAAAAAATTTGGTAATGTTGATGCATTTGAAGAAATAAAAATGTTAAAGTAGTGAACTTGTCATTTGTATTTCTAATTATTGACATTTCATTTAAAGATTTTTTTTTGGTGTGGGGGGGCGGGGCAGCAATAACACTTTATAGTGTTAATGGGGCAACTCCTTTTATAGTATGCACATCACACTATAAGAGTTAATTAATGACTCCGATGAGTATTAATTTCTAACACTACCCACTGGTGTTGAGAAATTAACGCTTGAGTATTGTTAAATTTCAACTATATAAGTGTTAAAATTAACTCTATAACAGTGTTAAAATGGCAACACTTTAAAAAGTGTTACATTGACACTGCGTAGTGTGGACCCCATGGGACACTTTAAAAGTGTTGAAATTAACTCCAATAGTGTTAATTTGAGTCTGTCCATTTTGCTGTGTACATATATAAGATATATAAACATATATACATGTATAAGATATATAAACATATATATAAGATATATAAACATATAACAGCAGCAGCTTCACCTTAAAACACGAGAATATTCCAAGAAGAATTCAATATATTTGTGGAAAAACCAACAAACACAGCAAATATACATAAAATATACATGATGATCAGCGTGTGCGTGATCATGTGATCAGAATGTGGTGGAATTGATCACTGACGTTTTGTTTCTGTTGTCCTTCCTATTTAATAATTTCTTACGTAGCTTTCATCAATGTATTGTCACCATGTGTAATGCTACGTGTACACGTGGCAACGCAATTGAAAATATAAACTAACTATTTGGCACTAAATCAAATAGTAACAGTAGAAAACAAAAGGTGAAGATGTAAAGATGACAGCAGACATGAGAAGCTCACAGAGATCATGTCTGCTGTGTGCCGGCAGAGGGAGCCGTGAGTCTCTCTTTTACACCTGAAACACGTCAGTGGAATTAAAGACTTGTTCTTTTACAACATTGGTACAAGTTACAAGTAACATTTAAAAATACACATATTCAGTTATAATGACGACTAAAAAAGTAGCGAAAGAATGAAAACCATGTTTGTATCTTTCCTTTATATTTTAGTTTCATTTATTCATTCTTGTATTTCCTCTTTGGATAAAGAAAGTCAACACTTTTTCTTCCTAGCATTAAAAATAAAGTTTTAAACCTTATTTTATAATAGAATAGTCTTAAAAAAAAGCTCAGCTCTAACTAAGTTTATCTAAAAAAAAGGGAAGTAGTAAATATACAGACCAAACCGCTTGAGAAGAATCAGTTAATGTTTTTACTGTCAAGCTCAAATATAAAACGTTTTACATTTCTTGCTAGTTTTATCTATAAAATACGTCATTTATTCATTTATAAAACTTTAGTTAATAGTTAAATCTATGTAATTCCCTCTGAGATTTAGCATAAAGTAGCTAAAAACGTAAATAGAAATTTAAAAAAAGGTAATTGAAATGAACCCAGTACTGTAAATAAACAGAAAACTGCAGTAAATGTATTTACTTTCCAACACTGAGGTGAACTTCTGTGATGTGGACGGTGGACCCGTCTGGTTCCTACAGGGTTCCTTCCAGTCATGGTGACCTCTCATGGACCTCCACCAGGGACAACATCTGGACTCATCTGGACGCCATAATAACCCCTGCACATGAGAACAGCCCCGTTGTGAACCTCCCTCTCAGCTGGGGGGTTCTGGCGGCGGACCCGGGACAGCTAGAGGGTCTGACAATCCCCCCCCGGGACCACCGCCCTGTCAATCACAGCCCATGACATCAGAGCACTGTCATCATGACAATTCAGTGAGGAATCATGGACGTCTCTCTGATTTACTCCATAGATCACACAATACAGATGTTTGGTAAAGTTACGCACATCTGGAGACACAACAGCTGAATAGTGTAAGAAACGATGTCAAAGTCACAGCAGCGAAACACCTGAACGTTTGGATGTTACTGAACAAAAGCTCAACAGCTACATGAGCATAAAACGTGTTTCCATCAGAACATTACACACAGTGTGTGTGTGTGTGTGAGTGTGTGTGTGTGTGAGTGTGTGTGTGTGTGTGTGTGTGAGTATCGGATGTGCAGGGATGTTTGTGCGTGACTAGTTGTGCATATAAAGCTTTGCTAATGTGGAAGGAGAGCCGAGACCTCATGGTTCACACACACACACACACACGCACACACACACACACGCACACACACACACACACACACACACACACGCACACACACACACACACACACACACACACACACACACACACACGCACACAGGTGGAGGTGATCATCACAACAGCAGAAGAGAACTCACACACTCCTCCAGAGGTAAGATCCCTGTGTTCATCTTGTGGTTTGTGGGGACTTTGTGACGGATGTGTGACAGTTGATATTAATCAGAAATGCCACAGAACCTTTGCTGTGTGATTCGTGCAGAACAGCTGGTGGATTTTCTGTGCTTCATGTGTGATGAAGAACACGCGGCGCCAGCTGTTAGCTTTCTTAATGCTAGCAGCAGTTAGCTAGCTTAGCGCACCAATGTGGTGTCCATCTCCTCCTCTGATGAGTATTAATATATATTATATATATTATTTGAAAAAGGATGTTATTCGTTATGACTGTATCTCCTTTTGTAAATGGAACATCTTAAAAGTAACCAGAACCAGTAGTTTGGGAATAAATGTAAAATAAATAATAATAATAATAATATAAAGGACATTTACTACCTCTACCAGGGAAGTGAGTACTCCATAAAGTACCTCTAATGTGTACAGCTCTTTATGTACATGCATGACCGACTACTGGTATGAATTCATGCAGCTTGATGACGATGTGACTACGTTTCTCTTCCTCCTCCTCCTCCTCCTCCTCCTCCTCCTCCTCCTCTGTAAGCTGATCTCTTCTAGCCGCGCAAAGGTCAAAGGTCAGGAGGAACAACAGGAAGTCTGTTTGTAACCGATGAATCATTGATTCGCCCAACATCACTTCAGTGTGTGTGAATGATTAAGATGTTCAGTTATTGAAGAAATGAATAGATTATTGATGATTAGGAACCAGCTGATTGCATTATTGATTAGGCTGAATAAAAGGATGCTGAAGAGCTCACACACACACACACACACACACACACACACACACACACACACACGCACACATACATAATGTTCATAATTCCGTCTTCCGAATCTAGCTGATGATCGACCTGCTCCTGAAGCTGGATGACCTTTGACCTCCCCGTCCTCCAGATGTCGCTGCGTTCGTCTTTCCGCTGCTCGAAGTTCCGTCACGTCTTTGGGAAGCCGTCCACCAAGGAGCACAGCTACGCCGGGGTGCCCGTCACCCGCAGCGTCCACGACAACCACCACTGCTCGGCCAACCCCAGCTTCATCGCCGTGGTGACGGAGTGCGCCGGGGGCGGGTCCTTTCTGGTGCTGCCCATCCATCATGTGCGTGGGCCTCCGTCTCCACCTAGAAGACACGCGACTCACTGTCGACAAGTCATGTAAAAAGACCCAGAACATGTAAAAGACCAGCGCTGCCTTTGTGGACGCGATGTGTAGTTCTGTATTCCTGCAGACTGAATTAAATTGATAATCTGTCACAAATAAGTTTTGACAAAACTAAATTTGAAAGTGACACAAAACGACTTTCCTACGACCGTAGGGGACAAAAGTCTCCAGACTTCATCTTTAGCCGTGTTTCCAAATGTCACTGAAATAGTTACATAGTGAAATAGTTCACTTACTTTCAGTGAATTAAAATTGCATTTATGAATGAAACTAAAAGGATAATTAGTCAATAGTGCAACAATTTAATCTCATGCGTCGCTATTGATGTGGTCTGAGGCTAAAACTGTTTAAATAGCTGTTTAAAACGGTTTTGTTTGTTAGCTTTGACCCAATAGAATTGAACTTGTTGTCTCAGACAGGAAGGGTGGACCCTCAGCACCCGAGGGTGTGCGGTCACAGTGGGAGGGTCCTGGACGTCAAGTGGAACCCGTTCGACGATCACTGCATCGCCTCCTGCTCAGAGGACTGCACCGTAAGCGCCATGCCAGCGCTTTGTGAGCTGAAACGTCCACAAGTATAGTGAACCGTCCGCACCGTCTGTGTGCAGGTGAAGATCTGGGACATCCCGGTCTGTGGCGTCCAGCAGAACCTCACCAAGGCCAGGAAGACTCTGATTGGTCACTCCAGGCGGGTGGCGCTTGTTGAGTGGCACCCGACAGCTCAGAACCTGCTGCTAAGCTCCGCCTACGACTACAAGGTGAGGATCCTCATTGGTCAGTGGCCGCCTCAGTCAAAGACCACGATTGCCCCCTGAGCGTCCTCCTGGTGGCGCCAGAGGACACGCTAGGTAGTCTCTCTGAGCGGCCCCCCCCCCCTCTGGAAGCATGTGAGCAGCCCGGTTTGTGAGGCCTCACTGACCCGGCGACCCACTCCGGTAGTCATTCATCAACAGCCCTGCGTTGTCTCTGTCTTTGCCCCAGGTCCTCCTCTGGGATGTGTCCCAGGTAGCCTCAGTGCTCAGGTACCCGGTCCAGGTGGTTCTGATGCCCATCCACCACCGCTACCCCTCTGATGCTCTGCTGCTGTCGGTCAGCTTCAACAGTGACGGCAGCAGGCTGGCGGTCGCGTCCAAAGACAGACGGGTCAGAGTCCTGGACCCTCGGACAGGAAGGATCCTACAGGTGTGTGTTTGAGGTATTTATCTTGTCTCCAGGTGTGAAAAAAAGCACATTTGCAATCATGTTCTCACAGGTGTCCAGCAGCAAGTCTCACAGAGCGAGCAAAGTCTTATTCATCGGAGGGTTGAAGATGCTTCTGTCAACAGGCAGCTCACCTTGGAACCACAGACAGGTCGTCCTCTGGGACCCGGTGAGTCTCAAACATCAAAGCCAGCGATTCCAACAGAGAGCCACTCACTTAAATGGAGTGAGCAGGTCAGCAGGTGTCCTGAGGTACAGCATCCTGCATTGTGCTCCACAGATGAAATAAATGGGACTACATTGTTTCATCATCCACAGGCTGATTTATCTGAGCCGCTGTATGAAGAAGACCTGGACGGATCAGCTGGAGTCCTCTTCCCGTTCTACGACCCGGACACACGCATGCTCTACTTGGCAGGAAAGGTCACACAACCCACACAAGCAACACGTCTACCCAGAACCCCTGGATTTGTTCGCTGCAGTTGATTTGTTGCAGTCGAAGGTTTTGCTGTTGATGCTCTTAATCTGTCGGAACGATTCAGGGGGATGGGAACATCCGGTACTACGAGCTGAGCCCCCACAAACCGTACATCAGCTTCCTGTCGGAGTACAGGTCTCTGCTGCCACAGAAAGGACTCGGTGAGACCAACGCAGCGTTTCCATCCTGTATATCTTAGGCCTTGATGCGCTGCGGACTGAGTGTCATCACCCTGAAGTGAGTCAGCATCTCACATCCAGGTTCCTTGGGCTCAAAGTCAGTTGGTTCATCTGTGGTGACGATGCTCCTGACCAAGCACCGAGGTTTCATTACCAAACCTGCAGTGCAATAAATATCACGGCCTCAATTTGAAAGAATAAACACAAGCTCAAGACATCACATCACCTTTGTTATAAAATGATCCATTTCAAATAACAATTTGGAAGCTAATTGGTAACATCATTGCGAACATGGAGGCGTGTTTCTACATGTTGAATCCATCCGTTGAGCAAGAGATCCGTTTCCCATCCTTCATTTGTCAATGGAACCAGTTCTGTGCTCCCAGGTTACTGTTTACTACGAAGGTCCTAAAACGTTGTTTCCTCCTTTCAGCTGGCTGTAAAAAACACTATTTCAGCGCACAAATGTCAGCGGGGCCAGTTCTAGATTGTAGATAGATTTCTCTAGATTGCTCGACCTTTGACCTGTTACTCCACTCTAGGGGTGATGCCAAAGCGCGGCCTGGACGTGAGGGCCTGTGAAGTTTTCCGCTTTTACCGGCTCATCGCCGTTAACGACCTGGTGGAACCACTGTCGATGATCGTACCCAGAAAAGACGTGAGCGAACGCGTTCACACGACCTCTCCCATCGTCGCCATTCGCGTATGATGAAGACAGGAACCAGCTGCAGTGTTTCCCAACGTCCTTTCAGGCAGATGTTTTCCAGGAGGATCTGTACCCAATGACAGCCGGGGACCAGGCGGCCATGACGGCTCAAGAGTGGCTGCAGGGCGTCAACAGAAGTCAGTGATGTGCGAGGGTCTGTGTGCCGAAACGATACGATACCATTACCTCACTCGTGCGTCCCCTTCAGGCCCGGTGCTGATGTCGTTGAACCCCGGGACCCGAATAGCCAACCCTTACCCAGAGACCCCTGCTGAGCGAGGGCTGGTGAGGCAGACGAGCCCCCCCGAGCCTCCGGGTGAATCTGGCAGTTGGAGCAGTGACCGGGTCCAACCTGGACATCGTGGAGGAGGTAGAACTTCTCCAGAATCAAGCAGTTGGCAGCGTGATGCCAACAGACCTTGTGTCTTAGTGAACTTTGAGCTCAGTAAACAAAATAAATACTTAATAAAAAATGTTTTCTTTCAGTATCGGAGGAGTCCCGCTGTTTTCTACCGTTACAGTCGGCCACGTTTAGATGAAGTTAGTACCTGCGATGCCTTCAGGGTCTCAGCCCGTAACCATCACACCCAACTGTGTTAACTGCGCATTGCAGAGGCCGAAGTAAACACAGCGTTTTATGCCTTTGTGGCCCACAGACTCCACGGACTCCCTGAGTCAGCAGCAGTTACGTTGCTTCCTTTTTTTTAATCTCTGTGTAAACTGTGATAAATGAATAAGTGGTGCGTTCCAAAGTAGAACCGCTGCCCAGTTCTTCACAGGGTGAAAACCTCTGCGATTGAATTGAAGACGATATTTCAGACTTTTACAGTAAACTGGCCTTGTCTCCAAGCTTTGTCCACCTGTCTTTCGTTCCTGCCGTGGTGACCAGCTGGTCCTTTCTCGTGAGGCCTTCCTGGAGGAGCAGCTGGCCTACCAGGACACCAAATACCCCGGGGAGGTGAGCGCGCTGTCGGGATGGCAGCCGGACGACACCCAGATCCCGCTGTGGACGTCCTGCTGTACTCCCCACTGCCGAGAACCCGCCGAGGGGCCGCCGCCTCCTACAGAGGGCGAGGTGAGGCCCCGGCACGGCGGCCTGGCCCCTGATTGGCTGTTTGTTCCTGCCAACAAACCAGTTTCTTTCATTTCAGCTGCTGAAGGCTTTTTACAGGCAGCAAGACGAGATCCGAAGCCTGAGAGAGCAACTCGACGCCAAAGACGTGAGTATCCAAACGCGCACACGCAACAATTAAAGGCCCAAACTTATAAGATTTAAAGTATCACTATTTTCGGAATCGTTTGTGTTGTGCAGGTGAGGATCGATCAGTTGGAGCTGGACATGAAAAACACCAGAAACCACATGAGGGCCACCTTCTGATCCAACCAATCAGCTCTCACGCTGCTGTCCTGAACCAATCAGACGCCTTCAGGGGAACACATGTGACGCCTCGATGAACTGATGCCTGTTGGCAGAACCCGAGTAATACTGATACATTAATACTGCATTTCATGTCTGAAGCATTAGTGGTGAAAAGCAGTTTACTTGTGTAACGTGCCGACGTTACGTTTCATCATTTGACCAGAAGGAAGGAGACAATGAGACTTTAGAGAATGAAGTATTTACTATTCTAAAGGGCTGTAGTGTGTATTAAATATATCTATTAAACCTGCTTAAATACATATAACCAACAATAAATATGTATACGTGCTGATTGGCAGCTGTAAGTCCTAATATGGTCACTTCCTGACTTGGCCGCTAACACAGAAGCTGTAAACGTGACATGAGGATGATCTACATCCCACAGAAACCATGATTCATTGTTCTAGGTCGAAGTGTTTGACGTGCAAAGAGTAAAGATGCGTCGAGATGAACGACAGACCAGCTGGTTTCAATGCTTGAGCTTTTTATTAAGGCAGAAAGAAGGACAGCTTACACATGTAGAACACATGTGAGGTCGTGCTATAAGCATTCCTCCCATGAACCACCCTTGTGGAGGCTCGAGGCCTCAGACACCATCCAGCTCACGTCACGTGTCGCGTCGTTCCTTAAGTAGCGTTACAGCGGTAGAAAAGAAGAGTTACGAATGAAACCAGGTGTGTTTGGAAGCCTCCGTCCTGGCCGGGAGGCCTCACGTCAGTCCAGGCATCAGGACCTCTTGGCGCAGACAGACGGGGCCTTGACCCAACACTGCACGTCATCCCAGGCCAGATCGCCTGCAGGCAGACACACACAGAGGAGGGAAACCCATCAACGACTCGCTTATACGCCACCAAGACGGAATGCAGGGATGGGCTTCATCTTCAGCCAGCTCGTACCGCCGTGGTTCATGCGTAAGCAATGCTGCTTGCCGCCGTGGTTGTTGGGCTCCCCAGCGGACCAGAAGACGTAGTCGAACGGAGAACCATCGGTCCACAGCCATTTCTTCTCCTGAGAGAAACCGCAGCAAGTGAGCAGGTAAAAGTCCTTCAAGGTGAGATCCGGTTAGTTAAGCTAAGCCTCAACTCGTCTCCCCAGGAGACTTTCATTCGTTGCAGCGATAAACAGTAATGAAAGTATGTGAAAATGATCGAAATAGAAAGAGCAATTTAAGGGAGGAAAAAGGTCGGATATGAAGATCATCTGATATCAGATAGAAAATGACAGGAAACACGAGGTGAAATAAAGACAAACTGGTGTTTGCTTGGCTGTATTCTGTGTGCGATGTTTGTGAGCGACGGACGAAATACCTCCTGTGCGTCGGAGCCTCCGACCCATGTGGGTCTGTTGCGGTGACAGGCCCTCATGACCACGTACTGGACGGCGTGGTACTCCAGCAGGTTGTGAATGGATGCCAGGTTCCCCCCCAGGGCCTGGCAGCTCCTCTGCAGGACGCACGTCGACAAAGCAAGAGGGACAGTCAAAAAGTGTCCACAAACGAATGTCTGTGTCCAATTTGTCTCCAACGTGAGCGAAAGCTGCTGAGTCGCCTGCGCGCGTCCAATCAGAGCAGCAGCGTTACCTCGGCCGCCGCCCACGACAACGCTGTCGGGTTGTAACGGAAACAGCGCCCGTGGAACGGGAACCAGCCGGCGCAGCAGTACGTGGACCTCTTGACCAGGTGGCGCTCTGCAGAGACATGTGGAGTCCAGGCGTCACGCGGGACACTACCAATGTTACTCTCTGTATCGTGATATAACGGAATGCAACACAATACGATGCAACTAGCGTCTCGTCTTTTTGCATTCGGCAGAGATTTCCTGCAGATGTTGGTAGATGAACATCTCGTTAAAATGTAAGAGACGACTCACCTCTGGGTTCTTGTCCGGGCGTTTCCTCCTGCAGAGCTGGGGAGTTTGTCGTTGCAGTTATTGACCTGGGTTGTTGCTATTTAAAGACAATAAACGGACACGTAGCCGATACTACATGTCTACTAATACTACTACTACTACTACTACTACTACTCACCAGCCGCTCCGGTCAGAACCATGACGCCACACAGAAGGACAGTCTGAGTCAGCAGCTTCATGGTGACGAGATGATGCAGATGCTGGAGATGAAGACCGCCTGTAATAAGAGGACAGATTACACTCGTGAAGAGGACGGAGACGCGTACGGACGGACAGACCGTAAAGTCAAAGGAGGGCGAGGACACTGACGCCTGTCAATCAGCCGTCCGGCGATGAGGTGGAGGACGAGAGGAAGACATAAATACGCTCCGTTATCTCCTCATCTCTCGCAGAAGAGGGAAGTGAGGACAGATGTGCGACTCAGACACGACACACACTGCTGAGGTGCAGACAACACGCACACAGCTGGACGCCGCTGGGCTCACTGACAGCAGGCCGACACGTGGACGCACCCCAATGGAGGACAACTTGTCTCCCACATCCAGTCAAACGTGTCCCTTCGGTCCGGACGGTCCAACAGAGACACTGAAGACTTTGTCCTTTTAACAACTACCACGCCGTCTTGTTGTCCCGCGCGGCATCGCACAACAACACGTCCGCCGTCCTACACACACACACACACACACAAACACACTGCTCCCGCGTGCACAACACTGATAGAGACACGCCGCGTGTCAAAGCGTCTCGCTGCTACTAAGAAGACGTGTTTGTTCATATGTGCACTCATTTTGTGCATTAAAGCTACAATAAACAATTTTATGCCAAATCGTTTATATTTTCTGCACAAAAAATGTCACGCTTTGGGTTTGTTTCCATTCTTATTTTTTAGTTTCCTGCCTCTCGTCTCCCTGGTAACTTCCTGCCTTGTCCCGTCGTCCCCTGTGATTGTCTGGTTGTTTCCACCTGTGTCCAATCCCCTGCACCTCCCTGGTGTATTTAAGCCGCGTGTGTCTCTTGTCACTCGTGGCTTCATTGTTCCTTGTTGAATGTCTGGAAGTCCGTCCCTGAGTGTCCCTGGTTCCCGTCTCCGTTTTCTGCCCCTAGGCCTTCTGTGAAAGTCGACGCTGCGTTTGAGTCCTGCCTCGTCCCGACAGAGACGAGTACGAAGCCGTAAGAGACAAAGACATTAACGCGTCCTGTACATCGCTGCGTGGGGACGTTCTGCTGATCTGAATGTGGAACCAAAAACAGGATGTTCTTCACGGCCGAAGCTGCTGCAGTTCGATGGTGGTGGAGATTAACAGGTGGAGTCCGATGAAGGCGTAGCTCCACTTCTCTTTCGTCGCCTTTGAAAGGACCTTGTGGCTCTCGAGGCGCTCTGAGGCGGCGAGATACCGGCGGCGAGACGTGACAGTCATGATGGAGGCCTTTCTGTTTGTTTGATCAACACAAGATAAAGAAAGACTCTCTAAATGACACCTTCTAACCGCCGTTATGCCGCAAGACTTCTGCATTTGGAAATGTGCTGTAATAGTAATAATTACAGGTTTTTTTCGGTTGCTACACACACACACACACACACACACACACATATATTACAGTATATATATATATATATATATATATATATATATATGTATGTATTACAGTATATACAGGTAGAGCTCAGAATGGAAGAAGGAAGACGGGTTGGTGGAGACAAAGAAGACAAAGAGCTGTTACTTCAGATGGAATAAGGCTTCACTTATGGACCATGTGGGGAACCACGTCTCTGACTGAGAGCGTTGAGGGTGGAACCCGATCTGCAAACATCCACAGTGTGATGCAACTTCTCCATCACACAAACAGGTGAGAGGAGTTTCTCTCTGCCTGGAGGTGGAAGGTGTTTGGTCTCCACCCACATGACCACATGTCCCTTTGGGAAGCCGGATGTGAGGACACGAGTCCAGAGGACGGCCAGGGATGGACGAGGCTTCCAGAAGGTTCTTCCCCAGGTTGATGGAGAGAGAACATGAGATGTGATGGTGATGAGAACCTGTGTCCTGATGCTACAGAGGCAGATCAGCCCTCAGTTTGTTCACATTACAGTCTGTACTTTTACTTTCTACCTTTTTCTCATTACTGTAATTCTGTAAATTACTACAGACGATTGAAGCAAACGGCTAATTTTCATTTACCTTAAAGAATTGTTATGTTCTAAAAATGTAATAAATCACGTGAAAGAATGTGACTCTTTTCTTTGAAGAAAATCTTACTTTGTATGACGTCACTGAAGTGGTTCAAAGTGTAAAGATGAACAGTGAGTATTTTGTGTGTTTGTGTTTGTACTCTCAGTGTGTTGTGAGTGACAGTGTGTGTTCTGACAGTGTGTGTTGTGAGTGACAGTGCGTGTTGTGAGTGACAGTGTGTGTTGTGAGTGACAGTGTGTGTTGTGAGTGACAGTGTGTGTTGTGAGTGACAGTGTGTGTCCTGAGTGACAGTGTGTGTTGTGAGTGACAGTGTGTTGTGAGTGACAGTGTGTGTTGTGAGTGACAGTGTGTGTTGTGAGTGACAGTGTGTGTTCTCAGTGTTGCACTGAGCCTGTTTGTGTTGTTGCTGTAGTTGTGTTGCTTGCAGTGAGTTGTGCAGGTGATGTGAGCGTTGAGCTCAGGTGACTGTTGCCGTGCAGATGTGAGTCAGAGTTTTGAACACGTGACTCTGGTTTCGCCCGCTGACGTTCAGCACTGGGAAACAAGTGTAATACAGTAATTCCACTTGAAGGCCTCTGCCTAAAGTGCACCGGGGAGGATAAAAGACGCTGCAGGGAAGCTTTGTGGTGGAATGACGATGGGGGGCTCTGCACATTTGTATTTCCTCTTCAATCCTTTTATTTTGAAGCATCTGTCACCACATCTGCACAGTCAATGTATACCGTCCATTTGGACAACAGTGTCTGACTGACAGCGGAAGAAAGTAGAACATATTTATTGTACTGGAGGCGGCTCGACCCACCAGGTCGGATTACACTGATGAGTCAGTCCGACGTCTTTCTGATCATCGATGAGACGACTGAGGAAGAACATGTGACGTGTAATAGATGTGAATCGTCTCCTTTTCATGGCAGGAATCGGCTTTAACGTTTCGCTTCCAGACTCTGCGTCTTTGAATGTGACGCTGCTGTCTTCGTTGGGGGCGACACGTTTAACAAAGAGACACACACAGATGCACACGGCTTGTTAACTATAACATGTGTAATAACACTGCCCTCCAGTGTCACAATACCAGTAATATAATAAGACATGCATATTATATATTGTATGAATTCCAGCTCAAAGACCAATAGAAGGATAAGAAATGCACGTTGAGGCGTTTTGCAGATGATCCTGACTGGTTGTAATGATTTAAGGAGACGCCTTATGAAGTACAGATTCATATATTTATATATTTAAACACATTTGATTGCTGATTGTATTCAGCCTGCTGTAACTTTTAAACTGTGGCACTAAATGTGTTCTGCAATAACTAGTTGGCTTTTCAGCATATATATATATATATTATTTATAATATAATCATTGCACGGAGGGAGCTCCATGCCAATGATTACATTATAAATATACTTTATCATATATATGCATTATGATTATAAACAGGGGAAGTCCGTCGCTGTGCAGTGGGGCTGCAAACCTCCACCTGAGGCCAAAGTGTCCTCTAAGATGGACAGTTGTCCACATCTGCTCCCCCTTGTCTCTAATGTCCAGGACAGCATTGACGTTGTAAAAACAATTTTCCTTGATGTCACCACACACACGTCGACACCAGAGAGGACAGGAAGAGGAAGGGAGGCCGTGACTCTCGTCACGTCTCGTGAGGTCTGATCTCAGTCTGCAGCACAGACGTCATGGAGGTCACAGCTCTCTGCTTCACCCTGAGTGAGTACTGACTCTTTGTTTTATTCTCTCCACGTGGACACTGAGGTGAACCTCATCTGTCTTCGTGTGTCCCTCCAGTGGTGGAGCTGCTGGTCCTGCTGGTGGACCCCCGTTGCTTTGCTGGTAAGAAGGACTTCCTTTGGTCCGTGTGACCTTCTGATTGACGCCTCTAATGTCTACGCATTATAAGCACAGTTCTCTGCTCCACCAGCTGCTAATACTTGTGTCCTCGTGTCCCAACTCACGGCTGTGTGTCTCCGTCTCACATGCAGCTCTTCCTCGGGTTCGTCCAGACAGACTGCAGTTCTTTGAATATGAGGACGTGACTGTAGACTGTGCAGAGTTCTCTGGATCGACTGAATGGAGAGTGATGAGGAAACTGAACCAAACCCAACCAAAGAGGTCTGTCAGCTGGAACTCGTCGTCCCCGTCCGTCTCCATCAAACCAGCCTTTAAATCTAACAGTGGAGCGTACTGGTGTGAAGACGCAGAGGGGAGAACCAGTGATGCCCTCAGCATCACCCTCACCGGTAGGTGGAGGAAATGATGGATTCTGTGCTTCACCCGCTGACCTGCTGACCTCTGGCAAAGATCTCAAGCAGCAGTCAAGACACATTTAGCAAAGAGCTCTCAAGCAATTAGTAACTGGTAATAGTTTCAGAGGGAGAAGGTAAAGGAGGCTGCTTGGTTTCATAGAGTCCACTCTGTAGCTCTACGTCTACTTACAGACACATACGTGTAACGCTATTAAATCAGGAGTCAATTCCCTTCTGTGTGACAGACGGCGGTTTGTAGGGAAATGACTTAAATTATTGTAGAAATGAACACAAATGATTAAATTCTCTAAATAAAATTAAGAATACAGGAATTATTTTAGAAATGGACAGAAATGATTAAATTCTATAAATAAAATTAAGAATACAGGAATTATTGTAGAAATGGACAGAATTTATTAAATTCTCTAAATAAAATTAAGAATACAGGAATTATTGTAGAAATGGACAGAAATGATTAAATTCTCTAAATAAAATTAAGAATACAGGAATTATTGTAGAAATGGACAGAAATGATTAAATTCTCTAAATAAAATTAAGAATACAGGAATTATTGTAGAAATGGACAGAAATGATTAAATTCTCTAAATAAAATTAAGAATACAGGAATTATTGTAGAAATGGACACAAATGATTAAATTCTCTAAATAAAATTAAGAATACAGGAATTATTGTAGAAATGGACAGAAATGATTAAATTCTCTAAATAAAATTAAGAATACAGGAATTATTTTAGAAATGGACAGAAATGATTAAATTCTATAAATAAAATTAAGAATACAGGAATTATTGTAGAAATGGACAGAAATTATTAAATTCTCTAAATAAAATTAAGAATACAGGAATTATTGTAGAAATGGACAGAAATGATTAAATTCTCTAAATAAAATTAAGAATACAGGAATTATTGTAGAAATGGACAGAAATGATTAAATTCTCTAAATAAAATTAAGAATACAGGAATTATTGTAGAAATGGACAGAAATGATTAAATTCTCTAAATAAAATTAAGAATACAGGAATTATTGTAGAAATGGACAGAAATGATTAAATTCTCTAAATAAAATTAAGAATACAGGAATTTTTGTAGAAATGGACAGAATTTATTAAATTCTCTAAATAAAATTAAGAATACAGGAATTATTGTAGAAATGGACAGAAATTATTAAATTCTCTAAATAAAATTAAGAATTCGGGAATTATTGTAGAAATGGACAGAAATGATTAAATTCTCTAAATAGAATTAAGAATACAGGAATTATTGTAGAAATGGACAGAAATGATTAAATTCTCTAAATAAAATTAAGAATACAGGAATTATTGTAGAAATGGACAGAAATGATTAAATTCTCTAAATAAAATTAAGAATACAGGAATTATTGTAAAAATGGACAGAAATGATTAAATTCTCTAAATAAAATAAAGAATACAGGAATTATTGTAAAAATGGACAGAAATGATTAAATTCTCTAAATAAAATTAAGAATACAGGATCCACTCAATCTTCTCAAATATAATAATCACCCAAAATAATCACTATCCAGTTATATGATGGAAACATCTATGATTTCTTTCATCTTTTACACTTGTTTTGTTTTATTATTTACCCAATGAAGCTCTTCCTGTTGGACCTCGTTCCTCTGGTATGTAATGAAAACTAACCCCCCCCCTTTGTTCAGATGGGTCCGTGATCCTGGACGTTCCTGCTCGCCCTGTGAAGGATGGAGACCACCTGGTCCTCCACTGTAAGAACAAAGATCGTAAAAAGGTCGCTGATTTCTACAGAGACGGCTCCCACCTGGGGACGCAGTATGACGCCACGCTGAAGCTCCCAAACGTCTCCCAGGGGGACGCAGGACTCTACTGGTGCAGCGTCTCTGAAACCGGGACCTCCCCACAGAGCCGGCTGGGGGTCCGGAAGCAGGCTGAAGGTATGAAGTACGTTTTTGTCTCCAGCCTAAAGACAGAATATGACATGAAACTCTTCCTTCTAGCAGCTGATGAGGAGACTGGTCACTGGACCCCCACCACCCCCACCCACCCCAACTTCCACCCACCCCCCCGTCCTCCCCACCGGCCTCCTCCCTCTGCTCGGGGTGGTTGTTGGCGTGTTGGTGGGGGCTTCTCTGCTGCTGCTGGGGGGACTTCTTCTCTGTAGGAACCGTGGAGGTATTATCATCTTCTTCTGTGGTTTCCTACTGACGTTGTTTCCTCTTTGCTTCTGTAGTCTGAGACACAAGCCGCCGACTCAATAGAGTCTAATAATAATTTAACAAGTTCACATTCCTAATAGAAAATATTCATTGTAATTCCATCAAATTTAATTTAAAAAGCAGAATTTCTCCTCTTAAGAATCAAATATTTCGACATTTGCTCGACTAGCATGCTACGAGTGAGAACGCTAGCGTGCTACATCTCTCTGTCTTTGACCATTGGGTTCGTTAATTGGTCTTCTTCATGTTGACCGTCATCCTGAGAGTGAAAGTCGTGTCACAGCGTCTTCACGTGTGCTGCTCTGTAGCGTATTCCAGTCCGCTCTCTGTTGCTTGTGATCCAGTCTCAGGACAGGACGCTGTGGATCAGGACCACGGGACGTACGCTGTGGTCCAGAAGAAGCAGAAGAAAAAGAAGAAGAAAGGTACGTGGAGTTTGGGCGACGTCTTTCACCCCGTTGATGAGGATTAAAGAGCTGAACGGTTTTGTGTTCCAGAGTCTCGTGCAGGAGATCCAGACCACGGGACGTACGCTGTGGTCCAGGAGAAGCAGAAGAAAAAGAAGAAGAAAGGTACGTGGAGTTTGGGCGACGTCTTTCACCCCGTTGATGAGGATTAAAGAGCTGAACGGTTTTGTGTTCCAGAGTCTCGTGCAGGAGATCCAGACCACGGGACGTACGCTGTGGTCCAGAAGAAGCAGAAGAAGAAAGGTACGTGGAGTTTGGGCGACGTCCTTCACCCCGTTGATGAGGATTAAAGAGCTGAACGGTTTTGTGTTCCAGAGTCTCGTGCAGGAGATCCAGACCACGGGACGTACGCTGTGGTCCAGAAGAAGCAGAAGAAGAAAGGTACGTGGAGTTTGGGCGACGTCCTTCACCCCGTTGATGAGGATTAAAGAGCTGAACGGTTTTGTGTTCCAGAGTCTCGTGCAGGAGATCAGGACCACGGGACGTACGCTGTGGTCCAGAAGAAGCAGAAGAACAAATCAAATCTTCCAGCCTGTGAGTCTTGCTGTGGTTTTATGTGTCACGTGGGGTTGAGAGGTGGTATATTTGGGCCCGTATTCTGAAGCCACATCAACGGCCTACTTTCAGTCCCGTCTGCAGCAGAAGAGCCCTCGTGTTGCAAACCAAGCTGCTTTCACTCGACCATGAATACTGATTTAGATTATCTGTCCCCCAAACAGAGAGCGAACCACGGCGGCCAGAAGAAGACGTCGTCTGCTCTTCCGTGAGAATATCTGAGACATGAAATTCAGAAGCCAAATGCTTCTTTGGCGTCCTGATGATCAACCGTTTGGTTCAAGACCAAATACCTGCAAAACGAGGACATTCCCATCTGTCCCAGCTGTTCTTGCTCTGTGCTCTTTAGCAAACATTAGCATGCTAAGCTAAAGCTTAAGATGTCATACTGATTGATTGGGTCAAAGGGTGACCTGTAAGGTCGTAAAGCATCAGGTGTTCCTCTCACAGATGTGCTGATGTTTTGTGTTCTGAGGGTTCTTCTCTCCTCAGAACCGCTCTTTGAAGACACAAATGTTAATAAAGACGTCTACAAGCATCATTCCGTCTCTGGTTCTTCTTGAGTCAGCGAGCAGACGGCTTCACACGGCTCACACGGCTCACACGGTTCACACGGCTCACACGGTTCACACGGTTCACACGGCTCACACGGTTCACGCGGTTCACACGGCTGGACGGAAGCGCTAAAGAAGCCCAGCGGGTTTCAGGTGGAAACAGCCGCTTGGGTCTGTGTGCGTCTCTGTGTGTCTATTTGTGCCTTTGTGCGTCTCTGTGTGTCTCTGTGTGCGTCTCTGTGTGTCTATTTGTGTCTATGTGCGTCTCTGTGTGTCTCTGTGTGCGCCTCTGTGTGTCTATTTGTGCCTATGTGTGTCTCTGTGTGCGTCTCTGTGTGCGTCTCTGTGTGTCTATTTGTGTCTGTGTGCGTCTCTTTGTGTCTCTCTGGGTGTCTCTGACTCTGTCGTTGTGTATTTGCGGCCTCAGTGAAAGTTGAACCACGTCACCGGGTGGAGCAGCCGCCGCCTGTAGTCGCTCTGCGTGGTCAGCGTTGCGGCGTCTTGCAGAGACACGCCGACGCTTTTAGAACCTGTCCCATCACATTGAGAGCCACGGCGTCCTCGCGTGTCCCCCGCCGACGCTCCAGTGTCTCTCAAAGAGCAGTCGGCTGCGTCACGTCTAAACCCGCCATAGAGACATGAAGCTGTCCTTTCACGTCCTCCACACCGGGTCAGAGAAACGTGACCTTCTCCACTCAGGAGCCGCGAGGTGAGACCTTCAACAGCGCTGCACGCGGTGCAGGCGTTATGGGTTGTTTGCGTGGTTCGATGGTCATGTGACCCGCCACAGAGCGACGTCATCGGGTCGGAGTTTTGCCCCATTTTCCTTTCTTCCATTTTTAGAATAAATATCTTGGAGCCAAATGGAATATTTCTACTGAACCGTTTACAGGAGCGAAGGGAATGAAGGAGCTCCTCTAACAACCAGCATCTCCAAGGGGGAGGAGCTCAGGGTCTCACCGCTGGTTACACACAAATGAGTATTGATCTCTGTCAGTGATGACGGTAAAGGATGATTGTCCCTCAGCGACAACACAAAAACCAACGAAGAAGAAGATGAAATCCATCCTTCTGGATGAAATCACGTTAACGCTGTAGTTTGTGTTCTGATGGATCGAGTGATGAGAATGCGACGCGCTCTGAAGCGTCGGCGTGTCGACCGCAGCGACGGGTCAGAAGCAGCACGCGGGGGAACATCTGATGGCGTGGTTTAATAAATACACAGTGGGGGGGCAGGATGTAAAACACCTCAAACTGCTGCTGCTGTTAACTGAGCATAAGAAGAGAAGCACCAAACGACAAGATGTTCTGAGACGGAGAAGAAAGGAAACGATGAGACGTTTCAGCAGCAGCGTCTTTATTAGTGCCGAACCTTCAGGGAGCGATCAGCTGATCAGTGACCATGAAAAGATTCAGATAGATTCAGTCACTCTTAAAAATAATAATTTCATACTGGAAAGAAAACTTTTGCAGGTAATTTAAAATCCAGAAACCATCTTTTGTACAAACACAAATTGAAAAAGCTGGAGGCATCTTGCAGCGTACCAAGCGGGCGTTGCAGGGAGACCCTGAGGCCTCCTCGGCGTCACACAGGAGGAGAACTTCGGGCAGGTTGTCTCCTCCGGCCTTCAGCCTCGCCGCCAAGCCTGTGAACACACGAGAGGAGACGCCTCAGGACGGACGAGGAGGTCAGGACACACAGCACCGGGTGATGGGCTACGTGCTCTGACTGCAGGTCCCCCCCGACCCCCCATGTGTGACCTTTGACCCCTGAGGGGAGGAGGACGCTTCTCACCGATAGTAGGCTATGGAATAGAGGAGCGTCTCCTCCGGGGAACCTGCTGAAGACACCTCTGCTTCTGCTGGGGACAAATAAACATATTTCTGATTACACACACACACCTTCAGGAGACCTTCAGTCTGTACCAGTGCTGATGGAAAACATCCATTACTTGTTGAAACATTTCCTTTTGGACGAAACGTGGTTCTTTCCCAATGTGACTCATTCTGAAGACTGAAAAAGGCGGCGAGTCGCCTACGAGGTCTTTTTAACGAGCTGCACGACTCATAACGAAGCCTTCAAACCAAAAACTGCATGTTCTCCTAACCTTCACCCAACGGAGCTGCTACCTAACCCCACTGGGTGTCTTCGACCTTCCTTCACTGAAGCTTCACTTCACAAACCAATGATGCACCAACAAGAGGACGGAGAAGACAAGCGAGGTGGAAACGTCCTTCAATGTACCTTCACGGTTCCTACAGAGAAGAAGTCCCCCCAGCAGCAGCAGCGGAGCCCCCACCAACACGCAAACCACCACCCCGAGCAGAGGGGAGGGGCCGGTGAGGGGGAGAGGCGGGTGGGTGGGGGTCAGTTGGGTGGGGTGGGTGGAGGTCAGGTGACCAGTCTCCTCATCTGCTGCTGGAAAGAAGAGTTTGATTTCAAAAGTCTGTATTTATTAAATGGAGCCAAAAACCTCGTCCAAACAACCTCAAACCACCTTCAGCCTGCTTCCGGACCCCCAGCCGGCTCTGTGGGGAGGTCCCGGCTCCAGAGACGCTGCACCAGTAGAGTCCTGCGTCCCCCTGGGAGACGTTTGGGAGCGTCAGCGTGGCGTCATACCGCGTCCCCAGGTGGGAGCCGTCTCTGTAGAAATCAGCGATGATTTTAAGATCTTTCATCGTACAGCAGAGGACCAGGTGGTCTCCATCCTCCACAGGGCGAGCAGGAACATCCAGGATCACGGACCCATCTGAACAAAGGGGTTCACGTATAAAAGGCAGTATAAAAGCGACTCTATGAAACCAAGCAGCCTCCTTTAGCTTCTCCCTCTGAAACTATCACCAGTTACTAATTGCTTGAGAGCTCTTTGCTAAATGTGTCTTGACTGCTGCTTGAGATCTTTGCCAGAGGTCAGCAGGTCAGCGGGTGAAGCACAGAATCCATAATTTCCTCCACCTACCGGTGACGGTGATGCTGAGGGCATCACCGGTTCTCCCCTCCGAGTCTTCACACCAGTACGCTCCACTGTCATAACTAAAGGCTGGATGGATGGAGACGGACGGGGACGACGAGTTCCAGCTGACAGACCTCTTTGGTTGGGTTTGGTTCAGTTTCCTCATCACTCTCCATTCAGTCGATCCAGAGAACGCTGCACAGTCTACAGTCACGTTCTCATATTCAAAGAACTGCAGTCTGTCTGGACGAACCCGAGGAAGAGCTGCATGTGAGACGGAGACACACAGCAGTGAGTTGGGACACGGGGACACAAGTATTAGCAGCTGGTGGAGCAGAGAACTGTGCTTATAATGCGTAGACATTAGAGGCGTCAATCAGAAGGTCACACGGACCAAAGGAAGTCCTTCTTACCAGCAAAGCAACGGGGGTCCACCAGCAGGACCAGCAGCTCCACCACTGGAGGGACACACGAAGACAGATGAGGTTCACCTCAGTGTCCACGTGGAGAGAATAAAACAAAGAGTCAGTACTCACTCAGGGTGAAGCAGAGAGCTGTGACCTCCATGACGTCTGTGCTGCAGACTGAGATCAGACCTCACGAGACGTGACGAGAGTCACGGCCTCCCTTCCTCTTCCTGTCCTCTCTGGTGTCGACGTGTGTGTGGTGACATCAAGGAAAATTGTTTTTACAACATCAATGCTGTCCTGGACATTAGAGACGAAGGGAGCAGATGTGGACAACTGTCCATAGAGGACACTTTGGCCTCAGGTGGAGGTTTGCAGCCCCACTGCACAGCGACGGACTTCCCCTGTTTATAATCATAATGCATATATATGATAAAGTATATTTATAATATAATCATTGGCATGGAGCTCCCTCCGTGCAATGATTATATTATAAATAATATATATATATTATATATATATATATATATATATATATATATATATATATGCTGAAAAGCCAACTAGTTATTGCAGAACACATTTAGTGCCACAGTTTAAAAGTTACAGCAGGCTGAATACAATCAGCAATCAAATGTATTTAAATATATGAATCTGTACTTCGTAAGGCGTCTCCTTAAATCATTACAACCAGTCAGGATCATCTGCAAAACGCCTCAACGTGCATTTCTTATCCTTCTATTGGTCTTTGAGCTGGAATTCATACAATACATAACATGCATGTCTTATTATATAACTGGCGCTCTACTGGAGGGCAGTGTTATTACATGTTATGTTATAGTTTCCTGTCCTCTCTGGTGTCGACGTGTGTAGAAATATCTCCGTGGGTCGGAGCTGCAGGTGAAACCATCCAGTGTGCTGAAGAAAAAAAGCTACGTGATCCACCTCATGAACACCAACAGTCTGTCCTCACGTCCTCCTGCCATCACGTCAGGAAACAACAGGAGGACAGTGTGGACAGACCGATCCTGCAGGCCTGTGGGGGGACAGAGGACATGTAGAAGTCCCACTCTGCCCTCTGCAGTCACCTCCAGGGATCCTTCAGATGAGAGATACACTGTAACAAATTGCTGCAAATTTACGGTGCAATTTTAACGGTATCTTACAGTATGTCATAATAACTGTAACATAGTTAAATTTCCATCCATTGCTTGTAAATTAACAGCCAATGTCATGAATAAACAGTTAAAGCTGTCAATTTACAATAATAGCAGACTACCGTAATTCAACTGCAAGTTACATATATTTTATGAAGTGGTGGAAATACACATACAAGTGCAGTGAATCACAATCCATCTACATCCGTTGTAGGTTAATGTACAGTATGGAAGCCCACGTCAGCCACTGAAAAACAGGTCCTGTAAGTCACCATAATGAGATACGATGATGACTTTGACTTACAGGACATTACTATACATGCAACTGTCACTTTTATCCAAAACACTCATGGTTTGACATAATTTATGTGGAGTAATTGGAGGTTAGGTGTCTTGCTCAGAGACACTTCAACTTGGCACAGGGAGCAGCCAGGATTCAAACCACCGACCTTGCTCTGCACAGCACACCCTCCCTATCTCATGCGCCGCCTTCACTGTCGTTTTAGTGGCTGGAATGTAAAGATTATAAATATTTGTATTATTCAAAGTGTTCATTGCCTAATAGTAATTTGAGTGTTAATCGTGACCGACTGCTCCTGAACGTGACGTCAGACGTAATCTCAGTTCATCCAGAACACCTGAGCAGTGCAACATGGGAGGAGCTTCTCATTGCCTCGTCTCTCCAAGTAACGTTGGTAAGTGTTATTTGCCTTTATGATTAACATTCTCCTTCTTTACATCTTGTTGTCTTCCTCAACTTTGTAATTTTAATATTTTCCAATGACAGTGTTTCTAAATATTTTATTTTGGTTTGTTTTACAGAGGCTCTGGATTAAGGACGCCAGCCGTTTGCTGCAGTCAATTGAAAGTGTTCCATAGCGTATTGTTGCAGTTAGTTTACCTTGTTCCTAATGATTTTATGATTCATTTTTTTATTATTGTATACATGTGGCATATTTTATGTTTTGTTCTTGGTTACAAATATCTAACATGTTTGTCTTTCTTCAATTTCTGGGGAATTAAATGCAAAAGTATACGTTTATAAGTAAACGGTGACATTCTGGTATTTATAACACAAAACCATTGATTTACAGTGTAATTGGTTCAAGTTTAGGGTAACATACAGTAATCCATTTTACGGTAACATAGTGTAAAAACCATTTACGATATTATACCGTAAAATTAAACGGTAAATTCCTGGCGTCCTTGCTGCCAGTAAAATACCATTGATTTACGTTGAGATTTTACACTATAAGTCACCCTGAGGGCAAAGGTCACGCTTGGTTCCACACTTTGAGCTGACTCACCTACAGTCATCGTGTCCCTCACTGGGATCATGTTGATGTGTTTGAAACCTTTGACCCATCAGTCAGCAGCCAATAGGAACCAGAGGCTGATGTCACCTGATGCATATGATGTCTTTATGGGAGGACTTTGTCCCCGGAAACCGATCCGACTTCTTCACTCACACGACAAGTAAGATCTCAAAAAACGCATTCACAGCGTCAGTTTGAAGTGAGACGTTAATCCTGTTTATTGTGGATTAGAATCCTCTCAAGTGGATACTAAACACAGTAAAAGTGTCCTGTTCTACAACAGAGGAAAGACGTCTGTTTGTCTCCCATTGAACAGGGTCACAGAGCTTCATCAGTCCTCCTCAGAAGCACCGTCCTGTCCTCTGATGAGCGGTGAGTCCTTTTCCTTTCGAGGAAACCAACACACACACCAGAGGTCTGCAGTGATGAAGCCTCACAGCTCCTGTGGAGGACTTGATGCTGCTCCGCTCAGTGGTCTCTGTCCCGTCCTCAGGTAGCGGTCTTTCGGAAAAAGCCAGCTCCATGGAGAAGGTCCTCCTGGGCATGGCTTGTGTGTCAGTTGTCCTGCAGCTCGTTGGTTTCCGGGCTGCGTGGTGTAAATGTAAAGGTAGGTCACAGCTCATTCATGATTACAGTGATGTTATATTTCACTAAATAGATCATTGAAATGACTTTAAACGTAATGAGTCACTCTCCTTCATTGGTAATGTTACAAAAACTCAAGATTTAATGTTTTCAAACAGTGTCGACTATCGTTGTGCGCAAAGGCTACTCAAAGGTTTTCATCCTCGGAGCAGGAAATGTAGTTAGAAGACAAACATGCTTAAAAGCTAAATGCTAAAGAACACCTCTTCAGACTCTACCTCGACTAAAGACTAACAAACTGTAGCACTTAAATTGTACTTGTAACGTCACTCATCTATAGCAAATTGTAAATTGGCTTATTTGAGGAAATTGCCCTTTCTTGTTTCTTGTTCTCCTGAGTTTGTACCCTACGGTTGAATGCACTTATTGTACGTCGCTTTGGATAAAAGCGTCAGCTAAATGACATGTAATGTAATGTAATGTAAACAGGTCGGTGGAAAAACCCAAATACTGGTACTCAACCTCGGATGTAGACGATCATCTTTGGCACCACAACATTATAAACATCGACACACAAACTTCTTGATTATCTGATGACCGACAACACAATGTACCTTTATGTGAAAGAGCAGAGGAACATTATTAACAGGTAGTAACATGAATGAATGCGAAACACCAAACCAGTGTCACATAGTATTCCATTACTTTATGTTGGAGTTTACTTTACTAAACATCAGGGGGTTTGATGGGGGCTACATGCACTAACTTACATGCGTTCTGTTGATTGACATTTGAATCACTGGAATATTGTTTGATATTTAATAACTGTTTCTGTCGTTTAATCTCCCGTCTTGTAAGAGGTGAAAACACTTCTTGAGGCACCTCCAGCAGAGGATGGGAGATGAGGCCCATATGGCTCAGATGGTCTCCACACTAATGCAGCAGAAGAAGGGAGATGAGGACAAACTGGCTCAGATGGTCTCCACTCTCCAGCAGCAAAAGGAAAATGAGGTCAAACTGTCTCAGATGGTCTCCACTCTCCAGCAGCAGAAGAAGGAAAATGAGGTCAAACTGTCTCAGATGGTCTCCACTCTCCAGCAGCAGAAGGAAAATGAGTTCAAACTGTCTCAGATGGTCTCCACTCTCCAGCAGCAGAAGAAGGAAAATGAGGTCAAACTGGCTCAGTTGGTTTCCAAAATAAAGCAGCATTGGACCGGACTGGAGGAAACCAAAGATCAACTCGCAAGTCTACTTGAGAAGGTGAAGACTGAGAAGGTGGAGAACAAGAAGGAGCTTCAGTCTGTGGAGGATGAAATAAGGGAGAGAGAAAAGCAGTCGGACAAACCGAAGGAGTTAGTAACAGCCAAAGAGAACCTGCTGAAGGCTCAGTGGAAACTAGACGAGACAAAGAAGAACTATGAGAGACTCAAAATGATGATGGAGAACCTGATGGAGCTCCAGAGTTCATCTGTTCTACCTTGATGATCCCTGATAACTTGATGGAAGTCCTGTATCTTTCTCTCTGGATTAAAAGGTGAAGTGAACGTATTTTTCTTGCAACGTGTTTTTTTACAGACATGAAAATATTCAGTTTTTTTCTTTGTTCCATCTTTCTTCCTTTTGTTGCCGTTAGTTTGATGTATAAAGTGATATGAGAAGATAAAACCGGACGGTGGGACTTTTCTACAGCACCTCCACACGTGTAGGATGTAACTAAATAGAATGCATTTATTGTGTATTTAAAACATAGGAAATTCTTTTTGCTGGGTTTTCTCACACAATTCGGTGTGGCAGAGCATTCAGGTTTGAGCGATATAATACTCTAGTACTAATACTATAGTACACAAACACTCGTAAATTAACGGGATTTTACTGGCAGCAAGGACGCCAGGAATTTCCCTTTTTTTACGGTATAATACTGTAAATGTTTTTTACACTATGTTACCATAAAATGGATTACTGCATGTTACCCTAAACTTGAACCAATTTTACTGTGAATCAACTGCCATTTACTGGCAGTCGACGCTAGTAACTTACTGTTTTATTTACAGTGCCCTACCGGTATGGTATGATGTTGTATATTGGATTACAGTTTGTTAACATACGATTACTGTTTTTGTGCTATAAATACCAGAATGTTACCGTTTACTTATAACCGTATACTTTTGCATTTAATTCCCCACAAATCAAAG